GGAAGCAACTCTGATACTTGACAGGCCGACTTCTAATCCACCTCTTGCACCTCACCCTAACCCTGTCGAAACTCGAAAGCGAAACACTGCCGCGATCATCATGATGTACGTTTCCTCCTCAGTCGTTCACCGGACGCGACACGAAAGTGTGTCTCCCAATGACTCGCACAATGGCCGTCAAAGGCCACGCTCAGCGTGCACACGCGCCTCACCGTTGGCAGCAACAGTCCACCATCTTAGTTCATCGACAGATGAGCGGCATCTGCCATTGCTGTGTCTAGTCTCTTACCATCTTACGCACAGCATTCCAGGTCGCCTAAATTCGGGACTGGACTGGACTGGACTGACTGGGGTCCGCCAGGGGCGGCCTACGTTAGGGCCCTAGTCCACTGGTCTGCCCCCTGCGCCGCGTCCCCGGAAGCCGCTGTATTTGTATAAGACTGGACCCGCAGATGCAAAGTCCCAGTCCATCGCCAGACGGCCCACGCAGGTGCCCCTGCCCAGCCTTTGGTCCGTCGCCGAAACTGGCAGCGGACGACGCACTTCACAAGTTCGCCTCGAAGCTCACGCGCATATTCAATTCTCCCACCCCCTCCACCAGGGGCTGGCTGTACCTTGCCTCAACACGTACCAATGGGCGCCGCAGGCGTGCCTGGCACCTTTCTCTGCGCCCCCCTACCACGGTGCCATTGGCCTCGCACCCCTCCACGGATGAAGATGGCAAGATGCACTGCTTGCTTGCTCGCCCCATAACTGGCCTCGGCGGATGGTGCTGCTGAGTAGCAGGGGTCCCATCTTCTCGACCCTCGCCCAGGGCTTGCCTGCCTCGCGCGGATGGATACTTTATGTTCGACCTCGCCCTGCACCTCGCGGGCGAGATCTGGGGCTCTCTCGTCTCTGACTTCTTCAGCGAATATCTCTCCTTGCGTCGCAACACTGCATCCATTCCTCCTCTGCTTGCGACCTCTTGTGCCGACGACTTCGGTCGTACCCGGGGACACACTCTTTCTTTGTAGAGTCCAAGGTCGCCGTTGGCTGTGCAGCATTTTCGACACGCATGCCCTCTTACTAGCAAGCAGACACTCGCTATCAGGACGCGGGCGGAACTCGCATCCGACTGTATCGCATCGTTCTTCTTCGTCTTTCGTTGGCCCCTGGCCTCCCCATTACTCGATTCACCATGGCCAACCTCACCCTGGATGGTGTGAACTTGTGCCCGCCCCCATTCTATGATGTGAATCTCTTTGGGGATGGTGGCTGTGAGTTTGCTCGTGTGCGCTCGCCGTGCCTGTGCTGAGTGCTAATGTTGCGACAGTCACAGAGGGTCGGATCTGTCAGCGAGTCTCAGACGAGCTGTCGTGTTGCCTGCCTTGCCCCATGACACAATGGGTATATCCTGATACCTTCAACACGCTGACGGACGCCGCCAACTGGGTCGCCACGGCGAGTGGCATCTGCTGCCTCTTCCTCCTCGCCTCATGGGCCTGTCTCCCCGTGGAGAAGACGAACCGCCACTACCTGAGCGTGGGCATTACAATTGGCGTCCTGCTCATGTCCTTTGGCTTCATCATCCCGCTTGCAGCGCAGACTGATCAGTGCTATGACAAGATCACTCCGCACAGCATGCACACCAACCCCTCCTGCGGTGCCTCTGGAGCCTTCCTGCTCCTGGGCGGGTGGGCTGGCGTCATGTGGGCTTTCCTTCGCTCCCTCTCTCTCCACCTCCAGATCTGCTGGCAAGTTCTGGTCGGTCGAAACTTTATGATCTTTGCCCAGGCGGCGGGCTGGGGCGTTCCCGCCCTCGGCCTGGTGCTGGCCCTGGTCTTCAGCGGCGTGTCCTTCCGGTTCGGGGAGACGTGCCACATCAACCACACGAACAGCATGGAGGCCTTCTGGATTCCCCTGCTGATCTTCGCCGGCGCGACTGTCGTCATTACCTTTGCCACGTTTGGCTACTGCATCAAGGTCTACCTCTCCGCCCTCGGCGACAGCAGCGCCTCGACCGAAGGCTCTAACCTGCCGACACACTCGTCCATCGCCCGCTCTCACTACTCGCCTCGTCAGGCCTACCGCCGCGTCAGCCGGGTCATTGGGCTCCAGTGGCGTGGTATAGCCATTGTACTCATCATCATCGCTGATGTCATATTTTTTTCTATTGTCTTTGTGTTCCAGGATAGCAATGTCGAGTCGGCCACGGGCAATCCCAAGACGAACGCGGATTGGAATTCGTGTGTAGCGGAGGCAGGAGGTGATAAGAACAAGTGCCGTGGCGACACCAGCAAGGCGGCTGAGGCATGGAGTCTCTGTCTCATCGGGTCGAAAGGCGACAAGGACAAGTGCCTCAGCAAGGCGAGCAGCCTGGTTGTCAATCAGGCAACGGTCGGTGCGGTCCTTCTGCTGCTCACGGTAAGCGTCCCCTCGAGCCTCTGGCTCCTCACAGATTCCCCCGACTAACACGAACCAGCTCAACGGGCTGTGGGTCCTCTTTCTCTTGGGCCGCTGGAGCATGGTCATGGGCTGGGTCGACCTGATCCCGTGCATCCCGCGCCGTCGCAGGCACGAATTCGTGTCGGCCGATGCCCGCCACGATGACAAGCAAGAAACACGTGCGTACGAAATGCTCTCCAAAGACACGAACGTGGAGATAACACCACTGTCCCCAGTGATGAAGTCGCCTCCCGAGCCCGAGGCCGGAAGGTCTACGCCCGACTACTTTGGCACGACGGCGCGATACCACGCGCCCTCGCACTCCTACTCGAGCCCGCGCCCACCCAGTCCGCCGCGGTGGAATCCCAACCAGACCTTTGCGACTTCGCAGAAGGCCTACCACGCACCGCACTACGACGACATGAACCCGCTGGGCATGAACAGGCTGTGATGGGGGGGGCGGGGAGCTCAAGAGAGAGGAACATGAATGGGTACGCTCCGCGGCGACCGAGAGTCGTAATGCGTTTCCGACCTTGCCCGCGAGCGAGGCACGAGTGCAACTGGCGCAGGGCGAGGAAGGTGGCGTCAGATTGACAGGTTAACAGCTCGCCAGAAACATCGTGTGAAGCATCGTGTGCCTGCGGCGACAGGCCGCCGAGCTTGCAATTGCTGCTTGGTTGAAAACAGAGGATGGCACACAGAGCATGCTCAGGCCAACGTGCCGAGCGCACCAGTCCAGGCTGTCTGGTAGATGCGTACGAGAAAAATCGCGTCGGCCCCGATGGAAAAGGGGAGCAACTACCGAAACTTGCGCAGCGAGTAGGAGCTTCTCCCGGACGCGGACCAGCATAGTCGGCGTATGGCCTCTGACTCGGACATGCGAGTTATAGAAGAAGTCGACGGACTCCGAAGTGATCACAAGAGTCCGGAGGGGGAAGCTGAGACATGATGTGATTGGCGATTGCGGAAGTGACGGAAGAGAGGGAGCTATCATGCCGTCATGCTGTTGTGCTCTCACCGGTGAGCAGCAGCAAGGGTGGGTAGCGTCCACGTCGCTGGCTCATGGGAATGTTGCATAAATGAAACAGAATAAAGTAATTCTCAAAACTCTTTCCATCGTGGAGCGCCAAACTGCGAATCTACGATTGCTGTCTCTGGCTGGTTGATACGTAATCGTCATGTTTCGGGTAGTTTACGTAGTCCGAGTAGACTGGCCCGGCATTCGTACCCGGATATATAATAATTATGGTCCTCGATCGGGCTGCCGGCTGTTGCACCCAGTGGAAGGATCCGGCAGCTCGAATTAGAGCTTTCATGTAAGCATGATGTCGCGTGATCCTACTGCCACACTAGTAGTAGGTAGTCTGAGGTTCTGAGTCGAAGACTGGACCGAGAACCCGCGCCAAGACATTGGGCCACAGAAGATAAAGAAAAAGACCCGATGATACCTCTGTACATACATGCACGTATACGTATTCGTAGGGCTGCCGGTCTGCTCGTGTGCTCAGCAAAGTGTCTGTGTACGTGTACGGAAACTGATGTTTGACAGAGGGCGCCCGATGACTATGGGACTCTCTTCGTAGTGGTATCTTGCTCGCGTGCACACATGCAGCCAGCCAACAACGCTCGCGTGCCCTGGTGCCTCCCTGTGCGTGTTCCTCGGGGTGGTGATGACACCGGCACCTTCGGGACAGCCCCATCGTCGTGGCAGGCTGACGGGCGAAACAGAGTGCTCGCGCGCGCGCGCGCTCGCATGTTGAGCGAGGCGGGGAGACGGACGGGGACTGGACACACCATGACAAATGGGTACGGTAACCTTGGCTGGGAGCCGGACGTACCGGATGACTGTTCTCTTACTCGATGAGCAGCAATATGTGATTTTTCTCGATTGCTTTTGAAGGCGGCCCTGCCTCGTCTTGGGCAGCGTCTGGATGGTGTCCTTGATTCTTCCTCGCTCGCTGACTCCCGTCTCCTACCTTCACTTAATATACGGAGTATGTACGATACGCTAGGTGACGACATTCACAGACTCCAGTCCTCCTACACGTGCTTCACGAATCGGGCAACGGGCACCGAGCAAACACAGCTGAAGGGCAGTCGGAGCAAACGACATATTGAAGACTGAAGCTACCAACTTCACCAACCCAATTCCTCTGGCCCAACGTTAAACAAGTCCGCGTACAATAACCGACATGTTCAAGATGGTGGGCGCTGGTGGGGCGCTGCGCGTACAGCTCCCGCAGCTCGGGGACCGGCTAGGGGCGATTGGCGGTGGTGCCTGGCCCTTTGGGGCTTCTGCCGCCGCTGCCAGGGGCCACCAGAAGGAGAAGGAGCGGCACTACCGCCAAGCTTCCGCAACTACATCTTCAAGTTCCTCCTCCTCCTCCTCCAACAACTCCAACTCCTCTGGCTCCTCGCCACGACTATCCGGCAGATATCGAGACGACGACCACGACGACCGCGAGTGCGACATTGAGGCACTGTCCCTCGGGGCTCACGACCTCCCGCCTCCCGCACACCAGTCCCTGCGCCGGAGCTCGAAACGGAGACGGCGTCCCCTCCCCCGCTGTACAATGTTCCTCCTCTGGCTCGTCCTGCTCCTGGGCGTCTACGGCATCTACAAGTACCGCGCCGAAAAGGCACTCAAGGTCCGCTGGACGCCCGACCTCGACACCCTCAGCTTCAGCCAGCAGCCCCTGGCCGCGCCGCCGCACCACCTCAACACGTCCAACTACAAGTTCCCGCTGCGCACCGAGGGCAGGAATGTCGTCGACGCCGACGGCAAGCGCTTCAAGCTCGCCAGCGTCAACTGGTACGGCGCCTCGGACGAGCTCTTTGTCGTGGGCGGCCTCAACATCCAGCACCGCAGCGTCATCGCCGACACCATCAAGAAGCTCGGCTTCAACAGCGTCCGCATGCCCTACGCCGACGAGCTCGTCACCGCCAACCCCGTCGTCGACCCCAAGCTCCTCACCAAGAACCCGGACCTCGTCGGCAAGACCGCCCTCGAGATCCTCGCCGCCGTCACCACCTCCCTCACCGACGCCGGCCTCGCCGTCATCATGAACGACCACATCACCGCCGCCACCTGGTGCTGCGGCGCCGACCCCTGCGACGCCGGCTGGCAGAACGACCACCTCGGCCCCATCTGCCGCGTCAAGCAGACCGAGGAGGACTGGATCCGCAACTGGGAAACCGTCATGCGGCCCCACGTCGACAACCCCCTCGTCATCGGCGTCGACCTGAGGAACGAGGTCCGCGGCCTGTGGGGGACCATGCCCTGGTCCTCCTGGGCCGCCGCCGCCGAGAGGGCCGGCAACCGCCTGCTCAAGATGAACCCCAACTGGCTCGTCGTCGTCGAGGGCACAGAGTCCGGCAACGACATCTCCGGTGCCCGCACCCGCCCCGTCCAGCTCGACGTTCCCAACCGCCTCGTCTACTCCGCCCACGCCTACGGCTGGTCCGGCTGGGGCAGCCTCGGCGGCCGCTTCGTCCAGCGCTCCTACGAGTCCTTTGCCGCCACCATGCAGTGGAACTGGGGCTACCTCCTCGAGCAGGGCATTGCCCCCGTCTGGGTCGGCGAGCTCGGCGCCTCGCACTCGCCTGGCATGGGCTCGAGGAACTATTGGGCCAACCTGTTCCGCTACCTCAAGTACCACGACGCCGACTTTGGCTACTGGGCGCTCAACCCCAGGAAGCCCAGGCGGAACGCGGCCGAGTCGTATGCCCTCGTGCAGGATGACTATGTCACCCCCATACTGGACTATCGGATGAAGGATATGCTGGAACTCATGTCGCAATGATGTATGTGTGTACGAAACTTGATGACTTTTGGATAATCAGCGTTATGAACAATTCTTTCATTTTGACTTGCTCCTAAATTCAGACGTGACCAGTCCAGAGAAAACACCCAAACGTAACCCAGACGCCACGCTCCAGAACGACTAGATCAGATCAAAACAGACACAGCATGCCCGTCTCCACATGTCTCGTCACCTCATATGTCAGGATGGTATGGTCCCGATAATGCAGCATGATCCGGTACCGCAGCGGCGTCTCGGCAGCCTGCCGGTCACCACCCCTAGCCTGCGGTACCCGGCCCACGGCCAGTCCATGCAGGGGCCGCTTCGTGCCGTCGTGTCTCCTGTACCGCGCCTCCTCACTCTTCCTCGGCAGAACCGCCTCCAGACGCATGCCGTATTTGAGACGGGACGAATCGCCACGATGATTAACAAGGGGGTGCATGCGAGCATTCGCCAGACACGTCAGTGTCGCCAGCAGAACCCGTCCCGTGGCCGAGCCGATGACCACCATGCACAGCTCGGGTACGTGGGCCAGCATGTTGAGCCGGCTCGTCGTCATGAACAGGTCCGTGTCGGGTCCCTCGTGCGCCAGCTCCTCGCAGCGGAGGGCGTCCGAGCAGTAGAGGCCTATCTTGTCAAAGAAGCTGCCAAACGTGGCCCGCACGGCAGGGATCAGCTCAAAGTCCTTCTCGTACGTCCGCAGGATCGTGTAGCCATGCGCCAGGTCGTGCGCCGCGTCGTCGTGTGGCAGGTTGTTTTGGTACAGCTCCCGGCAGTACTCCTTGGGGTACACGAAGCTCATCGGGTCGCTATAGGCCTTGCGGGTCCCTGTTTTGCAGTCGGGCGTGGGGTCGGGTAGATGCCCTTCCGGCCACTCGTGCCGTATGGCCCCCAGGTGCGGATGGTATACCCGGGGCACGGGAAGGCTGCCTTGGGCATCGGCCGCGGCCATCTCTCCGCGCGTCTCGTTCAGGTGGTTCTCGACGGCCTGCGTGATGAAGGAGGCGAGGGGAATCGGCGCGGGCCCGGGGTCTTCTGCCAGAACAGTACCATGATGGATACCGCTGTTTTCGTCGTCCTCCTCCTCGTCATCGTCTGACTCGCCTTCTTCCTCTTCTTCTCCTTCCTCCTCGTCCTCCTCCTCGTCTTCCTCTTCTTCCGATTCATCTTGAGAGGCGGACAAGTCACTGTCCAACGACAGCGGCAGCGGTGGCACAAAGCATCGTGACGGATTGTCGGGTATATTCTGCAGCGCCGTCGCAATGTTGGCGCGGCGAAATTGCGCGGCGCTCCCCGGATAGCTGAGGCAGATGCTATTCAGGGCCAGCCCCGTCAACTCCTGTATCGTCTTGACTGTCATAAAATGCTTCCTGTGCAGCGCGAGGACGCCCCAGCCCCGGGACGACTGGCCCATCTCCTCCTCGCTCTGGCGCAGGTACCCGTCGGCGGGTCGGATGCGCAGCACCCCACGGTTGGCACGCCAGATGTCGGCGACGAAGACGGCGCCGTTGATGTCGATGGCACAGATCTTCTCCGCGTTCCCGTGCTCGTCGTCCATGAAAGTCACATTGGGCAGGTTGCTGGTCTGCGCCGGCAAGGCCACGATGATGCGCCAGTCGCGGCAGCGCGCGCGGACCCTGTCCTCTGGCGTAGTGCACGCCGCCTCGCGGGCCGTGTTGCTGTGCAGGGCAGGCGCGAGGACGGTGACCTCGGCGCGGTTGGTGCTGACGGCGATGAGGCGCGACTTTGTGTGTATGGCGAGACCCCAGGCACTCTTGTTGACGTTGGAGCGGAAGCACGGTCTCAGAGGCCTACGGCTCCTCTCCGACTGGCTCTCCCCGTAGGCGTGCGCTGCTATGTCCTGGGTGTAGTACGCGGTGACGTCCCCATTGTCGGCGCAGCCGAGCAGGATTTCGTCGTGGCCCAGCAGGCCCACGATGATGTGGTTGAGGGACTGCCCCCGGAAGACAGTATCGATGGCGCCGCCCACGTCGAGGCCCTGCTTGGTGGGTTCGAATCGAATTTTGACCTGCGGGTGTTTCGACAGGTTGGGCGCGGCCGTGAGCATGGGACGATAGACGAAGACATGGTTCTGGTAGGCGGCAAAGTACAGCTGGGAAGAGTGTCAGATAGCCACCTCGCATGGGGGACGGAGGGAGAATTGGGTGGACCAACATTGTAGACACTCGACAGCGCCGTCAGGTTGTTGCGATGCGCTTGACAGTCCGGGACGAGGTAGAGGAGGGGGTCCTCGCCGAGGGTGTCGACGGGTACGTGGTAGGCATCGGTAGCGGGCCAGGCCAGCGAGGGCGGCACCATCCTATACGCACGCCAGAAGGTCTCGCGCTGGCGCAGTGCGCGCAGGGCGTCGGCGTCGAAGCGCTCGGAGCCCTGGTGGTGACATGGTCCGACGACGAGGCCAGTTGGTGGCGGTTGGGACATGCTCGATGTCGGGGCGGGGAGGGGATCAGCAGCCTCCTTTGCTGCGCTCAGCAAGGGGCCTCGAGTGCGGAAGCATGGACGTCTGGTCGCTTGTCGCAAGCTTTTCTGGGCGGCCCTTTTGGTCGTTGGCCGATGGTTGGGGGGAGGACAGCGCGGGACGGGCGACGTTTGTTTGTCGCGAACGAGGACTGGAGTGTGGCGAGGGGATTGGCCAAGTTGCAAGGGTCGCTCGCGCCTGTGATCGCGGGGTCCCGTGACGTGCATCTTTGCGTGATATGAGCTACCCTGCGTTCATTCATGTCCGGCTGCAAAGTCGCCTACCCTGAACAGCACCTAGTCTCACACCTAGCTGCGCTAATAAGTTCCCGAGCGTGGCTTACTACGATTATAACCGAGGCTACAGTGACACCGGTTGATTTGTCTGTGAAGCGCAACTTCATTGGCCCTACGGTAGCTTCATCTATCGATAGGATTATGCATTAACAATGGCAGGGCGTGAAGTGATGACATGCAGGTAAGATCAGCGACAAGTCGTGGCACGAGATGCGCACCAGTCTTATATATATCGAGTAGCAATGGTCTGGCACGGTGGACTTCTGTTGTGAACTCTTGTCACGCCTTTCAACTGCAGGCATGCTTGAAGGCTCAAGCACCTGGGCCGAGAACGGACAAGGCCGGGGTGGATCTGTGGAATGAATGCCGGCGTATGATGGCGGATCCGGAGATCGGACGGGGCTCGGGGGGCCCAGTCTGGCTCCGGGGAAAAGGACGACCCGTCACCTACGGGACGGACGCTGGCTGCAAGGAAGGAAGGATCGATCCGAGGTGCAGGGCGACCATGAGCACCAAGTCAGTGGTCAGTGGTCAGTGAACTGGGAAGGCGCGCTTGGCGAATGAGGGCGAGGGCGATGACATGATGCACTGCCGTCACCCACTCTCGATGTCGGCCTCTCATTGGTCCGCATCGACAGACGCCCCAGTGGGAGGCCGCCGGATTGGTCGGCAGCTGAGAGACGGCTGGAGGGTGACCTAATTGCAGGAATAATGAATTGGGCTCGACGCGGCGGCAACTTTTACGTTGCCTGATGAGTTTCCTGGACCCCTAGTCCCGCCGCTATCGCCCAATCACCGCCAGCATCGACTTATCGCTATCGTCCGACGGCTCCATGACATGATGAATCTACAACTGGCCGGCAATCCTATCTCGCTCTCTGCGCTGCTGAGCATCGAGGCTGGGCCTACCATAGGTACTTAGCTATTAATTATGTTGCCGGCTCCCCGATTTCATCCGCCGAATGGGTCTGGATCGCCGCATCACGTCAGTGTCGTCGTTGAACATCTGAGGCTGCTCCAGAGACACCAGGCGTGTGTCGTATCTTGAATCTTGACGATGGCCTCGAAACTGCGGGCAACTTGTCTGTGCCCACGATACGTAGACTGGTGATGGATGGATACTACTCACTATCTACCGTACGACATTTAAGCTTACTTCCGCAATTCACGAGTACGTAACACGCAGCAATCACTTCATGGAGACAAGCAGGGCTCAGTATCACGGCTAGAAATTCGTACATCCCACGTTGGGCTGAAACATAAGATTGCAGTCATGGACAGCGGTCCAGCGTGTCTCAGCTACCTACGTACTCAACTTAATTCATACGGACAAGGAAAGGGCCAGAAAAGAAAAGATCCGGGGCCCAAACCCATTTGCAATCGAAAAACGTCAACACAGCCGCCCCCCCCAGATGTCAGTCTCCCATTGAGAAATTCGAGACCCAAGACTCAAAACAACGGGGTTGTATGGGCGTCGAACGAATCGTCGTGCCGCAGGGAATGCGTCTTGTCTCTAGATCAATTAATTAGTTCCCGAGTCCTTGGTGCCGTCCTGGCGCTCTTGATCTTACGTGGAACGATGACTGACTTGCACGGCACTGCCCACCCCCCCCGTGCGTTCCCGATAGTCGATATCCCACCCACTCTCTCTCTCTCTCTAGGTACTACCACGGCTACTACTCTCGCTGTGTGCATGATCTGCGTCCTGGTCTTATCAAGATAGGGTCCTGGGGCTGGGGGCCACACGTCCGTCCACCCAATTTGGCCCCAGTGGCCACCCCCTCGACATGCCATGCCTTTCGCCAGAGATAATGTGTGCTAGTAATAGCAACGGTAACACGCGACAGCTATCTATCCTGATCAAGGGGTCCGTCCGGGGGCCCATCCTGTCCTGCCCGATGGCTGGAATCGATGAATGATATTTAGCCTCTGCCCACTCCCCCGGATGGAAGGCCTGCATCTCTTCAATTCACTGGTATTGCCTGTCCGATCCTTTCTGCATTGTCTGTCACTCGAGTCTGGCATCTGGTCCCTCAAGACTCCAAGGATCTCCAACAACCTGTGATTGATCATTACTCTCGAATAAATCCGACCAGCATTGCGAGATAGGGCTTGGCACGGGTACACACCCATCTCAGACTGACTACATCGTCACCACAATATACTGGAATCCGACTCCTACCACCCCTTCTCGACGACAGAATATCGATACACGACGCCATCATGTCCTACTCACACATCGGCGCCCCGGTGCCCTTCAACGGCACGGACGAGGTCCGCGGAGGAGACTCTTGTACGTCCAACCCCCGAGCCACTTCCGTTTCGCCCATTGAAGCACCAGCCAGACTGACAATGAGACTGCAGACACCGAGAACCTCAACCAGTGGTACCAGGCCGGTGACCAGGCCTACATCCTCATCTGTTCCTGCCTGGTCCTGATGATGATTCCCGGCATCGCCTTTCTCTACTCCGGCCTCGCCCGCCGCAAGTCCGCCCTATCCATGCTCTGGGTCGTCATGATGTCCTTCTCCGTCATCGTCTTCCAGTGGTACTTTTGGGGCTACTCGCTCGCCTTCAGCCCGACGTCCGGCAACCCCTTTATCGGCGACCTACGCAACTTTGGCCTTATGAAGGTCTGGGCCGCCCCCTCGCAGGGCAGCCCCCTCGTCCCCGAGCTCCTCTACTCCTTCTACCAGATGATGTTCTGCGGCGTCACCGCCGCCCTCACCATTGGCGCCGTCGCCGAGCGCGGTCGCGTCATCCCCGCCATGGTCTTTGTCTTTTGCTGGGCCACCCTCGTCTACTGCCCCCTCGCCTACTGGGTGTGGAACGGCAACGGCTGGGGCTTTAAGAACGGCGTCCTCGATTACGCCGGCGGCGTCCCCGTCGAGATCGGCTCCGGCATGTCCGCCCTCGCCTACTCCTGGGTCCTCGGCCGCCGCAACGAGAAGATGATGATGAACTTTCGCCCCCACAATATCTCCCTCATCACCCTCGGCACCGTCTTCCTCTATGTCGGCTGGATGGGCTTCAACGGCGGCTCCGCCTTTGGCGCCAACCTCCGCGCCGTCATGGCCAGCTGGAACTCGTGCCTCACCGCCATGTTCGCCGCCATGACCTGGTGCCTTCTTGACTACCGCCTCGCCAAGAAGTGGTCCATGGTCGGCTGGTGCTCCGGCACCATCTCCGGTCTCGTGGCCGCCACGCCCGCCTCCGGCTTCATCGACCCCTGGGCCTCCATCATCCTGGGCGTCGTCTCGGGCGTTGCCTGCAACTTTGGCACCAAGAGTGAGTCCCCCTTGTCTTCTGCTTGTCATGAACCCTCCTAACAACCCCGCAGTCAAGTTCCTCATCGGTATCGACGACTCGCTCGATGTCTTCGCCGAGCACGGCATCGGCGGCATCGTCGGACTCCTCTTCAACGCCTTCTTCGCCTCGGGCGGCATCATTGGCCTCGATGGCGTCAACACCGGCACTCCCGGCGGCTTCCTGGACGGCAACTACGTCCTCATCGGCTGGCAGATTGCCGCCATTGTCGCCGGGTCCGCCTACGCCTTTGTCATGTCCGCCATCATCGCCAAGATCATCGACCTCATCCCCGGCCTCAAGCTGCGCGCCTCCGAGGAGGCCGAGCTCCTCGGCATGGACGACGACCAGCACGGCGAGTTCTCGTACGACTACGTCGAGGTCCGCAGGGACTTCCTCGCCTGGAGCCCCCAGCGCGGCGAGCCCGCCCAGGATGGCGACGTCCTCGAGCCCCAGCACGGCATCCGTGAGCATGCCCAGATGTCGTCGCCGCCCAGCAGTGCAGGGCATGACGAGAAGGCTCACCAGCCCCAGGCTGCTACTTCTACTGCTGCTGCTGGTCAGGAGCCGTCCGAGGCCGAGCCCGCGGCCGCTGCCGCCGCGCCCACGAACGAGAAGAGCGCTTGATTTCATCCGCCATGTCCCCATTTGAACACTTGCACATACACTAGAACATACATATAATATTTCTGCATGGGAAAAGAGACCTTGCAACGAGCAAGCAAGGGAAAAGCGACGGTACTGGAGTTGGGGAGCAAGTCTTTCTTTCGTTTCTTCTTGTTGTTCTGCATTTTAGACATGCTCCTCTGAGATGGACGTGTTGGATACCCGACGGATACTTCTTTATTTACCGCCTTTAAGGCCACGGCCAGGCCGGAAAGACAAAATGACATGAACTGTTCATTCAGTAGTGGGTCCATAAGTTATTGAATGTGTGATGTGACATGGTGGTCGTTGCTATACATTTGATCAAGATTAATTAGACGGGCGCGCCGTCAGTGACCTCGCCGTACGGCTTGGCCTCGTAGTCCCCAAAGCAGGCGTGCTCGTACTGTGCCTTTTCGCGCATGCCCTCCTGCACCTTGACAAACGTGTCGAACTCGCACCAGCCGTCCCTGCGGTCCGGGCCGCACTCGGGGAACGACTTGCCTAGGGGCAGCGTGCGTTGGTTGAGGACAAAATGGACGTACTTTGTCTCGCCGCCCCGGAGGTAGCCGTCGCGGTTGGGCGAGACCGGCTTGGGCGTGCGGATCACCTCAATGTCCAGACGCGCGCCAAACGGCGTGATGTGGGCGATCTTGTAGGCGTGGTCCAGCGGGTTCTTGTCGGCCGGCAGATCCTCCTTGAACTGCACTAGGCCAAACGCCGTCAGCACGGAGGCGATGTTGGTGTCATGCGAAAAGTCAAAGTACAGGCTCTGGTTCAAGGGGAAGGTCTCTGGCATGCCGTCGAGCGTCGTGTTGATCTGCGAGCCAGAGTACCCCAGCGTATGGTTCTGGAGCCGGGCCATGACCTCTTGCTGGTAGCCAAGGCCAACGGCGCGTCCCGTCGGGCTGTGAAAGGCACTGCTGCCAGAGAAGGCCAGGTCAATGGAGTAACCAAAGTCCTGCCACTCTCGGTACGTGAACAGCTCGCAGAACCTGCTGTACCCATAGGCGACGGTCTCGTAGGGGCACATGTTCTGAGCGGCATAGACGTCGTCGGTTGTCCATTCGAAGCCGCTCGTCATCGAGTTGAAACGTTCGACGGCTGCAGACGTATTATTAGCACAAACTCTTTCACGCGAGCGTCCATCCTAGTAACGCACCGTCCTTGAGATAAATGTCAACCCAGGTCTTCTGGGCCTCTCCGCCTGTGGACTTGGGGGATGCGTTTGGGCAGTTTAGTGAGCCGGCCAGGGAGTTGTTGAAGCCGCCGTCCTCAATGATCACCTCAATCGTCGCATTTTTCGTCCTGTGGACGGGTCAATACTGCATATCCCAAGCTGTGGCCGAATGTTGAACCCACCACTCGAGACCAAAGAAACCCGAGACCCAGTTCTCCGCGGACTTGAGCATGCGATCTTGTGTCTGGAGAACTGTTAGAAAAGGCTTTGCACATGCTCGATGGACAGGTGAGAGGCACATACCGTTGTGCGCACAATGAGCTTGCTGTTCGGGTTGTATAGCTTGCCATACATATAGCTATGCAGGACACCCGAGTCGTACAGCTCCTGGCGACCTTTGGGGACGAGGATCTCGGCGCCGAGCTGGTACTTCCAGTCCTTGAGGAACGCCAGGTCCCCCTGTGGCTTGAAGCTGTCTCCGAGGGGACCGAGTTTTTGGCCCAGCCCGGCCACATTGGATCCTGACGTGGGATACCGTGCACCGTGCCGAGACAGCATCTGAACCTGCACAATGTCGGCGCCCTCGGGGATGGGATACTCGTTGACGCCAAACCCAGGCGATGGCGAATACGGCGACAGGAACCCCATCATCTGGAAGATGCTCTCGTTGCCCTGCTGCATGCCCTCGATGGGGATGGACGTCTGCAGGGGCTCATTGGGCACAAAGGTCGCCGTAGGCTCAAAGACCCGCGTCTGGGCCATGAAGGCGGCCCGCCCAGTCGCGGTAGGCCCAGGCCATAGCTCCGGTGATGTCTGGAAGTACTGAGGCGGCTTGGGCCCTGAGCAGTCGCAGCCGTGCCCGGCACGCTTGAGGCCGCCGCCGACGTATGCGTAGGGCAGCCAACCGTAGATTGTGGTGGAGAGCAGGACGATGGTGATAAAGGTCAAGATGTAGGTTGCGTTGCGAAAGTGAGTGTCTCGTCGAACATAGAGTGCGGGCTCCTCGGCGTCGGCCAGCTGCGACTTGGAGGAAAGGCTGTCGTCGCTCTCCTTGGAGCGAAGCACAGGCCGGTAGCCTGTTCCTGTGGTTGGGCCATTGGCCGATGGGGACGCGGCAGTCATGGTGGGACCTCTGCGATGAGCAACCCCTGGTGAGGGCTGCTGCAACCTGCGCACGATGCCAGGGGCGAGACGAGGCGCGAAGCTGGGAGCCGGGCTACCGACAAGGACGAGCTATGCAATCGTGAGATGGTGATGTTGATGGTGTTGATGATGATGAAGATAATGATAATGGCAGCGCGACAAGCGACTCGTCAATGTCGAGTCCAAGACTCCGGCTGCTGCAAATGGGGAAGGAGCGACCGGGAGTGAGTGCTCAGTGAGGGAATTGAGATGTGGAGTATCCAATGAGGTAATTTGCGGGGCGACGAGCAGCACAGTGTTTCATAGACTGTATTTGTGCTGGCCTTGCTGGAAGTGGACTGTGCTGCACACTGTCCAGTCGCTGCCTCCTCCGTTTCACTGATAGATTTAGACTTGCTCTCCTCACTTCAACCTCGACTGTGGAATGCCGCTGCGGCCGTGCTTTGAAAGCCCCGGCTCGCATATGCACAATGCCACTCCTGACTCTCGCGGACCATGACCCGTCGACAAACATACATACATATCACTGCACGTCCTTTGCATAAGGAGGTGTGACTATTCTCTCCTGATCTGGACCAAGGCACGCACACCATTCAATGCATTCGAGATTGCCTGACAAACATGACGATACTTTTTTCAACAAGAACTAATTCTCACACTGGTTACAAATGTATGGAAACAGTAGAGTCGCCGCGCGCAGAGGCCACCACTCCAAGTGCCCACTCGTGTCCTGCAGTCTGCTGCACAATGTGAGCACTCGAGGCGTCCGGCCCCAAGGCTCTACCCGACGACGAGCCCGGACCGACTATCTAACGTTAGTTGGGCTGCGCTCGAAGTGGGTAGTACCCGGGAGGCATGGGCACCAGGTGCCACACCTTGCTTCGTCGGTGCTCGTCAAAGGCCTGGTACCACTCGTTGCGCAGCTCATCGGGGATCGCCCACCCCAGCTGATCGTCCCGGAGTCGCATGCGCACCAGGTGTCGTTTTTCCGCAGCCGCTGCTCCATCGACGAATCCCTGGCGTCTGTGGAGGACAGCGAGGTTGTTGATGAAGTGCAGGTCACCAGGCCTGGTCGTGATCGCAAGCTCCGTCGCCCGCGCAATCTTCTCCACCGCATCCAGTGCCTCGAGCTGCCGCTCGCTCAACGAGGGCAGGCTCTCGCAGCGCGGGTGCGTCTCGTTGCCAATCAGCGGCGTCCTCCCAAAATTCATCATTAGGCGACCTTCGTGGTGGAAGAGGATTGGACGGCATTGAAACTGCGGCCTGCACGTTTGTATGTTAGCCAACCGGCAACTCCGCCTGCATTCGCGCCCAAAGTCAGGTTCGCTTGGAGGGGGAGATACACTCACAACGCGAAAGGCCAGTCGGCACCGGCAAGAACGCGAAGCAGGTCCGGGCGATCTTTGGCCAGCACATTGTACACCGTGTAGCACGACGCAATGATGCACCGGCCACCCGAAGCTGCCGTGCTCCTCGTCATCCAGCTCACAATGTCTCCCGCCTCTTCATTGTGGAAGGTCTGCATCAAGTCTCAGCATGGAGCCCCCCCAACGACGACGCATGCACACGGCATCACTTACAATGGGGTTTGTCGAGTGGCGGTGGTGTCCTGCAGCGGCTGCTGATGAGTCGTCCGCGACGATGTGAACTAGTAGCCAGAGTGAGCTCCTACCGGACAAGCCTTCGCGACATGTTGCTCACCCATCATGTTGCCCTTGCGGTCCTGACGGCCGTGGCGATTGGCAATGTAGCACTGCAGACCGAGCTGTAGCATGCTGAGGTCTTCGACAGAGTACTCTTTCGGATTTAGACCACGCACCACCCCGAATCCGCGTCCTTGGTGTACCTCCAGCCTGAGAGCTTCGAGCCTCTTCCCCAGGTTGGGTAGAGGAAAGTTATCTCGAGACACTTCGTAGCCCTGGCGACCAAGTTCTAGAGCAGAGTTAGCCACTGGACATGGACAGCCCAACCAATCGAGTCTCGCACCTTTGAAGCACCGCAGGGCGTTGTTCGCCTCCTCTACATCGGCCTCGTTCATGCGGAGCACATATTCCTCCTCATTCGCGAACTGTGCGCCTTCCCATGCCAGCGGCGAGTCCACGGCACGAGGGAAGCCAGCTGGCAGGCCGGGGCCTGCAGCCAAGAGCCCAGAGGTCGGCCCCAAGGGCACCTGTGTCGAGGGCGGCTGTGCTGCGCAAGATGTCATGGTGATGGCGGTGTTGGGCTCGGGCGATATTGTTCTGGCTTGTGACTGCAAGTAGGAAGAGTCAGTTCGTCTGGGCGAAGGCTGATGTGCTCAAGTGCTGGGCTCAATGCGCACAAGACAAGGCTTTCTTATAGACGACGACGACGACGACTACAACAACGACGACGACGACCAGTGCGTTGACTGCGAGTTCGTGGTCTCCTTGATCGTCAAGCCGCAACGACTGCTTTCTTTCCCCTGCGTAATGTTGACAGCGGTCTCCCAATGACACCGCCGGTTCGGAAGGGTAGTTACATATTGTGTCGCGGTCTGCAAGGTACACATGTATTTACACGAATTGTAGTGCGGCAGACAACCGCCCCTGGCTGGGGGCAACATCCCCACAGCCAAAAATTACAGCATTTTCGTACCTATCATTGTGCAATGATGGGGCGTCGCCGTTGTCGAGGATCAGAAGCAACATACGGGTCGTCGACATGACCAGCCAGCGACGCGCTCTGTACTCCGTTGAGACCCGACCGCTGCGGCAGCCGTGATCAACCCGAAGGGAGATGGCACTAGTGTTCGTTTGCACCGGAATCAAGATGCGTGCCTCCCCGGGCGATGCACGCGAGCTATGCTTTTGCTTCCGCGTGCTGCACTCCAACTGTATGTACCCTCACCTACTACGTGTTAGTCCAACAAATATGTACCATGCAGGTGGGGGCGGCGGCGGCTCTTGGTCAACGTCGCACGGCCACAGGTCTTGACCGCACTCGCGTTGTGTTCCGTGGTGTCTGGGGGACGAAGTTGCGAACATTATCTCGATCGTCCTCACAAGAAGGGGATGGAGGGACGACCGCACCGCCATGTACACATGAACCACCCGGGTCGCTCCCGCTAACGAACACCATTGAGACAGATCGCCAGCCAATCTCAAGGCAGTCTGCGCTGTGGGAAAGGAGCTCTGCCGCGCGAGGTCTCATCATGGTATAGCTCCCTTGGACAAGCTGCCGTCCACACGGGTCTTGATCACATTACTAAATCGCCCGCCCGTGCAACCAGGGATGGCCGGGGCTCTGCCTGCGAAGAACCGGAGTTCGCTGTTAGCACAGTTTTCGCCGTTGGTCTGGCACACGGCACATGAGTGGTGGTGACGATGCAGAACAAGACAATCTTCGTGAATATTTCCCCCCATCCTTTTGGCGACGGCATCGGTGGCGCACAAGAGCGGTGACGCTTTCGACGCCTCCTCAGCTCGGCGATATCCTCTTACCAACCGACCTTTCGAAGCCAAACAGCTGGCAGATGCTTGTCGGCGCGGCGCCGTGCATGCATGCATGCAGACATACATACATAACTGAGCGACGTTTCTTTTGCCACCTGCAGCAGATTCTGCTTGACCTCGCTTTTGCCCACATCACCTGACATACGAGCCCACACTGACAAGTGAAGGAGATGGCAAACGAAACAAAAAAGAGAAAACTTGAGAAAGACCATTCAAATGGTGGACTGCGGTTGCCAATTCTCCTCGAATAGCTGGCTGACAAAGTACCAGTCGTTCTCGTAGTCGCCTCTTGCTCGGACTTTTTCCCAGTCGTGTTCTGTAGAGGTTGCACATTAGCATAATTGCTCCCAGATCTCGAAAACTCATGCGGCAGGGGGGCGGTGTGTGCACTCGATAGCTCGGGAGACACTCACTGGATTGCTTGGCAACCTGTCGTGTGGCTTTGACGAAGAGGATCTCATCTTCGTTCAAGCCTGCAAGCGTCCGGAGATCTTGATCCTTGCACTGATCTGAGAAAGGATAGACCCCCTTGTTGCAGTAATGGAAGTGTGCCAGCAGGACGTTGGCGCCTACCGTGTACTCTTGTCAGTCCTCATGACCTCTCACTGACACAACAACTGATGGGCACTTACCGACGTGGTACTCTCTGACGGACGCCTCGCGCGCGAATCGGACCTGACGAACGGATATTTAGCTCCCTCGGACGCAGTAAACTCCACACTCATCGATAACCTGGACCTACCTGCATACCGTTCTTGTCTTTGATGCCGTGCTTTTTGGCGTAGCGCGAGTCGTGGGCCGTGATCAACGCTGTGTTGTGGAGCAGCACGAAGCTGATGAGGTAAATGTAGAACCATGTGCTGTGCTTCTTCTTGGACACAAGCTTCTCCAGGCCGTCAAGGACCTCCTTCCTCAGCTCGGCAAGCCTGTCCATCAGCAAGATGTCCAGCTGCCTGCCCAGGACAGGCGGTACAGGCACCTTGTCCGGGTCAGGGCTGTCTTTGGGCAGCTGCTTGATACCCAATGTCTCCGACCCTTTGATGAACACGGACTTGGTGGTCAAGCGGACATACATCCAAAGCATAAAAGTCTTGAGCAAGAGGCTGCGTATCTCCAGTGGTGTCGATTTGTCAATGGCGCATGCGTGCATGCGCAAATACGTCTTGTGCACGAGCCCGTACTCCTTTGTGACATTGTGTAGCACTTGTCCAATGGACCTCTCGATGTACCGCTGGTACGCCCCGGCGCTGCTCTTGAGGTCGACCAGCGCATATGGCGTGCACGAATGCGAGCATTGCTTGCCAGTCTTGTCACGGTACGTGCGGTTGATTTTGTCGCCAGCTTGCGGAACGAATCGCCGTACGGCAAGTTGAATCACATTGACCGAGTAACCTTCCGCCAGGCTGATCGATTTGACCTCCAAGGATGCCCAGCCCTCACTGGCGACGCTTGGGACATTGTCGGTCCAGCGTTGCGTCCACTCGTAGCCCGGAACGTTGCCAGACTTGTTCAATTTCACATCGGTGATCTTGTACCGCAGGCACGGCAATCTACCGGCTCGGGTATTGGCCACCTTTTTACAAGTCATGCACGGACCGGTCGGATCTTCTGTGTTGTGTTCACACTATATGAAAATCAAGTCAGTCACAACCGATCGTCTCCTTCGTGGCGGCATGCGAGCGTGTGAACAGCCAAAGCACTACTCACCCGAATGCGCTGCATCCTGCACCTGATGCATGAACCGATCTTTCTAGTCTGCGCTGTTTGCTCGCGCAGGCTAAGGTCTTTGAACGGGCCGCGTTTGCCACCGCGTTGATTTGGCACCAAAATACTGTACTTGGAGTTCAGTCGCTCCAACTGTGCAACATCAAGCCGAGAACCTGCGAGAACCTCGCTATGTACATTGCAAGATTGCACGACCGCGGCTTGGTTGGCATGCGACTGGTGATCCGCCATGGTAGTCGGCGGGAGCACCTGAGCGAAGTTGGCCGAGTTCGAAGCAAGCGGCGGGCGGTCATGAAAGCCATGTTCGCTCTGGTGAGAAGCTTGAGTAGGTACATAGTATGATCTTGGAACAGCACGAAAGTCTCGAGCGCCTTCATAGACCGAGATCCGTCTGCCATCACTGTGGTTGACATTGTCAGGACACCGTGCCGCCGCACCTGGCGCAGATGCCTCGACAGTAAGACGGTCTCTGTACGCCAGCACATCTGGCCGGGCAGTCGATTGTTCCCCCCGGTGCGACTCCGGGACAGTATATTGCATAGAATGCGACTTCTCCATGGTGTACGACTTGACGGGACCGTGCATGATGAGTTCCTCTTGTTGCAGATGCTGATAGTCTGGCGAGTCATGTCAGTATGCTCCAAACAGCTGAACACAGTCACGATACGCGGCTTCTCGTGCATTCCGGTACTCAAGTTAGAGCGTCGTGAGACGGTTGGGGGAAAGCGTACCGTCATGAGGAACTGCCCAGCCAAAGCAGTTTGCAAGGCAAGTTGGACACCGCATCATTTCTTGTGATGCGTACGGCGGTGGATAGACTGCTTCGCATGTTTCACCCCTATCACGGTGGGCAGCCGACCTTTGGCCCTTGGGGATCTCGGCGCGCGAGGGTGAGCCTTCACCGGAAGAGGATGTACTGTCTTCGCGACTGACGCGTCTGCGTTTGCGCGACTGCCACTGGCACTGACAATCACGCGATGGACTGTAGACAGACGAGGCGAATCCACTGCACTCGAGCGGGTAATGGGATCGCCACCCACTGCCGTCGGGGTCGTGCCTGTGTTGAGAAGCGGGAAAGGGCAGCTCCGAAACGAGGGCATCGGGCGCTGGGGGCAGAGCGTAGGCAGACTCTGGAGCCCAGCAAAGGCCAGATGCTGGGGGATTGAAGGCGTCGTGAGACTCCTATCAACGGATCAGTACACCGCCTGGACCACAATATTGGCAAGAGGCTTGTTGGTGTGCCACGACGGGAAGAAGACAATGAGAAAGGGGGGTGTATGTGGATGACTCCTATTTATTCAGGATGAGGCAGGGAACTCGGATCGAAGCAGTCGCCGTGTTATGGAGAAGGGAGATCAGACATGTATCCCTCATGCATCAAGCCGTCGGCATCGTGTGTACGAGAGATATGATATGTGATAAAAAAGGAGCAGCACTCACCATGTGGCCAGAAGCAGCTAATGTAACTCCGTGAGACAGACAGGGTGTGAGGAACCGGAACCTTGGAGCGCTGAGTGGGAAAGGAATGATCGATGTACCGACGCCAGGGTCAATGAAGTATCCGGGACACAGAAGGAAAACACAGGCAGGGAGACCCAGGCGGCGGGTACTCTGTAGAAGTGCGCAGGCGGCAACGGAAGCACAACGGGACTAGGCAGGCGACAGCGGAGAGACACGGGAGGGGTGGGTGCCCAGCGGCGCCACCAGAATCACCACAAAGAGACGATCCAGGTCAGATGCTAAGTTGAGGTGCTCAGTGCGCTTTTCCCCGTCACGGACCGATCAGCATACGTATGGGGCAGCCGGGGAGCGAGCACCTTGGCGCAAGCAGAAGCGGCGTCAGGCCTCTGGATCAAACTGGCGAGGCTGGTCAGGCGGTAGTCGACTGGGTACGTAGTAGAAATGCCAACTGGTGACGAACGCTGATGTTGAACGATCCGGTAGCACCAAGGAGGAGGAGGGGGCGCCAAAAATGCGTCGTGAGACTTTCGGCTGCCGCGCTCGTTGCAGCTGTCGTCAGACTGTCAAAGCGGTCGGGCAGGTTACTCGAGCGGCAAATGCTGTGTTGCGGCCGTGAATGCAGCTGCAGCTGGTCCGACTAGGGATGTGTTGACAGCGATATTATCTCGCGAGTCTTCTGCTGAGGAAAGAGAGACTCGGTGAGGGAATGCGCAGTAAAGCATCAGGACAGCCCGTGCTGAATTGTTGCTCACTGGTCTGAGGGATACTCTCGCAGCCCAGCGGAACGGACAGGGGACTGGATTTGATTTGGGATTTGGGATTTGGGATTGGCGCAGGCCACTGTCGCCCATTGGGCCGCGCCAATGGTAACGTAACCCAGCCAGCTGGCGCTGGTAATAGGTACTCGGACTCGGGGCCGCCTCGACAGTACGTACATGCGGCGTCCGTACGTACTTGTACATGATGGCGGGCTCTGGTCCCTGGAGTCCATGTCTGGGCTGGACTCTGGAGTCTGGAGGCGGGAGGGTGGAGACTTGCGGTCGACGGGCCGCGGCCGCCCGCCTGGCTTGATCCGACCTTGGGTCGACAACTTGGAGCCAGTCAGCGCCAGAATGTGCGTAGGGGTCTGATGCTAGACTCCAGAGTCGTTCCTGAAAGGGTATCGGTGAGAGTTGAGGTGCGATTATAATCATGCGGCCAAGATGTTAGCATGTGCCGAACGGTGTCTGCGTATTATCGCATCCTGTCGTGTTGATTCACAACTCCCAGCACAGCTGCGTCTCGAGGCTATCACGATTGCCTGCAGTTCGCTGGCAAATCGAGCCGCGCAATGGAATATCAGACTGATGTCTGCGTTAGGATCGTTGCTGTCAGGCGAACAAACAATGACCACGTAGTGCTGTCAGTCAGCCTGCTGACTGCCGCAGCTCGACCCGCGGATTGCTGATGCACCAAGGCTTCGGGCGTCGGCCTGAATTAACGAACACAGCCATGATATAACTGCACTGCAACATGGCTATTGATCCGAGCGGGGGAGCAGGGAAAGGGATAAGCGTTGTCGCTTGCATCTTGCAGGATTGCCTCTTAGGGTCTTTATGCCACACCCACGTTGCTGGTGCGGGGCACCGGTGAGAGGAACGACCAATATGTCAGCAGCTGATCAACCTTGTCGTCGGTTGACTCCATGTCGGTCCACATGTCCTTGTCCAGACATAACCAAGGCGGCACGGTCTCGAGACGAACTTGCAGAGCGCAAACGCGGATGCACTGCAACTGAAGAAAATCGACTCGCCGGCGGAATAGTGCGGGACCTGTACGCAGGATCGTCACTCGGCGAACAATTGATCCTGAACTTGATAACTTGTGAGTAAGTGAGTGGCTGGACCGGAAATGGCAAGGTGATGTGACGATGCGGTGCAATGCAGCAAATGTGCGCACCTTGAGCAAAGACTCGTGGGTCAGATACTTGGGAAAAGCAGCAGTAGTGCCAATAGAAGCAAATGCCGACATGCAGTGATTAGTATCCGAGAGTGTTGGTGCTCGACGCGCTTCACGATGCAGTGCAAGGCGGTGGGAGCCTGCGAGGTAGGTGTTGATCTTCCTTCCGTCGGAGTACATATTATTATTAGAGTCTCGGGCGGTCCTTCCTTTCCTCCATTTCTCACTTTGTTGCGACCCCTCGCCCTTGCCCCCTCTGCCGCCCCGCCAAACAGCATCCATCTCACAGACCGGTCAGCAATGTCTAGGATTGGGCAGATGGTGACGGACATGGACCGTGACTCTATGGATGTGGGACTAGAGTCCAACTTCTCAGTCATGAGACAGTAATTACCACTCAGATGTGACTGGTTGTGCTGTGACCGGCTCTTGCCTGCCGGGGCTTCCTCCAGGAGCTAATCAATCATCTGCCTCAGGTACCAATGTAATGGTGCCTGGCGTCGTCTCCACAAATCTAACGTCAACCGACATGATGGCATCGTTCGACCATCCTGGTCCCATTCGAGGCACGATTATACGTGTTGCTACGACATGAACCTACCATCGAATGTTCCTCTGCTGCGCAATGGCAATTGCTTCGATTTGCACACCCACTGCGAACACTACGCGCTCAGAACATGCCACCTGCCGGGGCCCTGCAATTAGCAAACCCTTTGTCGAACCAATTCTTGAACCCAGCACGACTGCGGAGGCTCATGCAAGACGTTTTACAAAGCTGGTCAGCTGCAACCAGACTGCTGTACACATCCGATTAGCACGGGAATGCGCAGTACTCTCTTTCGTCTAGCTATTCGATACAATGCTCTACCCATTGAAGGTTGACCACCTCGCTCGGCTGTCAAATATGAGCTGAGACGACTATTATGGACGACAGTGCACCTTCTCACTGCTATTTTCTCCGATTGGACCTGTCACATCGCGTCAATCCAACCTCAGGCCAGCTGTAGGCGGTTAATTGAGGTGCAATCCCCTCAATATCCCGACACTCGACTACAAATGTCGACCGACCGGCGAAGACTCCGCCAACACTTGTGGCACGAGTTGCCGCGCCGAAATATTGAGCGCGAGCCAACCCAATGATGTGATTTCTAGGTGATGGAATTTTGAGGTTCGCCGCTCGAACACCCAAGGACCAGGGGGCTAGCTTAACATGCCCACAACTGATCCAATACGGCCTCTGCTCTCTTGCTTGAGTCTCCTTGGGATTCTACCTCCTCGTCTCGACTCAGAAGAAATCTCTCCCCTTGGAACACTCTTCCTTGGAACACCCTCGGGCCTGGTGGCGACGGTCCTCTCAAATGTAATGAGAACCGCGTCTTGCTCATCGACAGCTTGGTGTATCCCAAGTCATCCTCGGACCGGCGTTGTCGTGTGAACAGCGACAAACGTCGGTGATTGAGTGCCTGGACAAACGAGACCGACAATTCGACCCGAAACAATTTCCCTGACGTTGTACGACTGTCCACACCGCTGCAAAAGGCCTCCCGCGGCGTCCCGAGCCTTCCAATGCGGCGACAGTCTTTTACTCTTCGGCAACTCAAACGAATGCAAAGCGACATGCGAATGCCCGAGATCTGCCGGCTCCCGATAGATCTGAGACATCCAAGGAGCAATGGGTACAAAGTTCATGGACGCGAAAACCAAGCAACAATAGCGATTCTACCTCCTTCTGGGTGTCCAACATGCCATGTCATCGCTGATGGCGCACAGGACTGCTGCAGGCTGTCACTGAGCATTTTCCCGTTGCGAAGACTCATGGGGAATTTCAGTGGACATGGACAGTCATTTTGGCTTTCAACCGTCCTACCGTCGCAATTGTTCGAAAGAAAACAGATACGTTCCGCATAGCCAAATGGCTTGATGCGACCAGATGCGTGTAAGCATCGTTACTGGGGTCATGTGATTTCTCGGCAGTGTCGAAACGGGCCAATTGCAACGCACAACACCCTCTTCCCTGTGCCCGGTCCTCGTACCTGAGGTGTATCACTCATCTGCACGACCTTGTGCCGCCTTGCACATATGACAAAGGCCCGACGAGGCGCGACTCGTGAGCACTTATTATTTCCTCGTCCTTCTCCTTTTCCGTCCGGCTTCCAGTGCTGCGGCCAGCCCTGTACACGAATATTGTTTTCCAGCAGCTGCCGTGCTCGACTCCCTGAGCTCTTCGCCCAAACAGCTCACGATTGACGTGCACCTTCACGCGCACGCAGTCTGCTTACGGCCTGGTCTGATCGGGCATAGTCCGAACAACGACTATGGAACTTAGCGAGGAGTCTATTCACGATGTCATTCATCCAACCGCTGCATTCGGTACGCAACAGCCGTCGCGTGCCCAGAGACAGAATGTCGAGGAAGATCCGCCGAGCTGGGAGAGTTCCTTGCTTAACCCCAAGAACCGCATCGACAGTTTGGAGATTCCAGACAGCCCGCTCTGGACTATCGATGGATGCACTGCCTATGGCGCCCAGTTGTACGCCACACCTCTATTCTTCAAGTCGATGCCGCCCTTGCGAATGGATGTTTACATCCCTGAGCCCACGAAATTACCATTAGCAGTTCGCGAGGTTCTCGACGTCGACGTCGTCTTCCACACAAGAGACAAGCATCGAATCTCTTGGCTTGGTTTAACGAGACACATTGTGAGGATTTTGCATTTCTGGGCCAAGCAGATGGAAGACCCCAGAGAGATCTACCACAACATGCCGTTCGGTTCCCGAATCCTGTTGCGCAACCTGCCTATGAACATAGCAGACGCTGTTGTTATGACAGTTCCTGCTCACCATCTGGAAGCTCAGCTACACACGTTGCCCTCTCTGCAGCAATGCTGGGCCGCAGAGATCAAGGACTACCCGCCCACGTTGGATCTGGGTGAGCTAACATACATCTCCCAGATTCATGACAGCGTCTCCCTCGTCATGATCAACAACAAACCGTGGATCTTCAAAGCTCTCACAAGCGATTCGAAATACTTGTACCACGAACTGCGGAAGCTGCTCACGATACCGCCTCACCCGAATGTGATGTCGCGTCCAGCGCATCTCATTACCAAGAAGTGCAGCTTCGGAGAGAAAGCAGTTGTGCTAGGCTTTACCCTCGAGTACCACGTACATGGCAGTCTGCGTGACTTGATCCCGTTTCTCCGTTTGCACGGACGTGTGTCCCTCCAGCAACAGACAAAATGGTCAGTGCAGCTTGCTTCTGCATTGGTCCATCTGCGAACAATACCTGGCATGTTCTATCCGGACCTGAGGCTGGACAACATTGTACTTTCCGCGTCGGACGATATTGTCATGGTGGATTTTGAACAAAGAGGTGTATGGTGCGAGTTCGCAGCTCCCGAGATCAACGCAATTGAGTACGTTCGAATGATCGCGGTGGACAAGGAGATATCGCCTGCGATCTCTGACAAGTATTCGAAAATACTTGAAGCAATGGTGCCTGGCTGGGAGTTTATGACGGAAGGAGAGGATTACATCTGGCCCAACACTGGCTACAACATTGCGTGGACTGCTCTCACACCTACGGAGCAGGAGGCCTGCGAAGTTTACATGCTAGGGCGCGTTCTATGGTGTATCTTCGAGGGCAAGAGTGCTCCCCAGCGGGGTGCTGTCTGGCTTTCCTATCGATTTGAGCCAGTAGTCGAGTTTCCTGGATTTACAAGTACACCTGGGCCGATTCGCGACCTTATTAGGCGATGCACCAGCGGGGCTCAGCCCGGTTTGAGCAGTCTCATCGTTCGGGAAGGCAACCAGCTTGTACTACGGCGCCTTGAGCACACCGGCCTCTCGACCCCTGAGCAAGTGCAAGAAACTGCCAAGCAATTCTGGTCTCAAGAAGTCGAGGCGTCTGGACATTGGCTCGCTGCGCGGGCAGAGGGCATCGCCAAAGGCGACTGGAATGAAAACTACTACAATCGTCCGATGTTGAAGGCTGTGCTTGCGGAATTGGAGACATACGCCAGAACATTGGCAGATGGCGCGTCTTGACATGACTAATGTCACCTCTGTCAATTTTGGATTGTTTACGATGCTGAAAGGCTGTTTCTTGTTGCTTCCGGAAACTATTGAATCCGCGCTGCTATGTTGGCTCGTCTCCGCGTGAAGCTTGCTCAACCCACTCGTGGCTTCTGTATACATGCGTGCCGTTGAAGCAGACGCTCATGCCTTGCTGGTATTCTGAACTTCGCAGTGGCCTACTCTGACACATGATGGCCTCACGATAGCTCCCGACAAAAGAGCCTACCACTCGTGGCGGTAAGTCTTGCGCGCGTTACTTCATTCGTTTGCTCCGCCGACCCGACGCAGTAACGTCATTCGCTCTCTTCGGTCTGCTCTCAGGTCTGAGACCCCGTAGGCTCGCAATGAGCGTCCGAAACTTGGTGACGTACGACACCGGAGCGCCATATGTTTCGACTTGCTCGAGCAGCGCTTCGAGATCGTACAGGAAGTGACATGCCGCTTCAGGCAGTAAGCTCAACACACCCACGACAAAGTCGATATCCCTTTCCCCCACAAGACTCATGTACAGGTTTCGACCTTGTCCAGATACATGACTCGATGCGCGCGGATGTCGAGTGACAACGGCTGACAAGATATGAACGAGCGCGGCTGCGGCTGCGTGTGCCTCTGAAAAGGGTAGCGGCTGGTCACGGTCGAACACAGCACACCGAATGGAGGACACGCAGCCTCTGATATGGTGTGTTGCCCATTCTGTGGTTTTGGAACCGTCCGTACCGCCAGCGTCCAGCTTGTCTAGCACTCGGTCGACTCGTTGCGATAGCTTCCGAAAGACGTCTCTGATGGGATCTCCTGGCCGACTGAGGGACCTAAAGTACTGGAAAAAGTTGTTGTTGTCGAGCAGCATTCTGAAAATGGTGCGGTCGATATCGTGACGCTTGATCACTTTCGTGCCCTGGCTGGGACTATCGAATATATCTGGTCGAAATGTGTCCGGATCTTCCGCATGTATCGAGGCGAGTAGCTCCCGAGCCTCGAGTATTCGAGCTGCGTCGATTCTGAAATCTGCGTCTTCGCGTATAAGGGGGCAGTGCAGGTCGGCGGCGAGAATGTCGATGTGATGCTTACTGATGCGCTCAAAGAGGTCGCCCATCTCATCAGCGAACCCTCGTTGGTTCAGACGCACAGGTTCGCGTCGGTCGTGGTCGTATAAGGTCTGATCAAGTATCTGGTCAAGCAGCCAGAGAATGTGCGAACAAGCAGTGGTCTCGTTGACGTCGCCCGCGCATGAGCAGACAAGTATGGTCCGCTCCCCGTCCCTGTGCAGCCGTATGGAGCGATTTACAAGCTCTGTCATTTGGAAGGCGTATGTGTTGTCCACGTGGCGGCAGCGTTGTAGAGAAATCTGAAGGGGGCAGTTGAAGGTGTCGCGGACCACGTCCCTTTGCCCTTGTGTCAGATTGTCGAGGCGATAGATGATCCGTGTAGGCGACTTGATGGTCAATGAATCTTCATCCGTCTCGGACCAGTCTGACTCGCTTTCTTCACTTTCGAGACTTGATTCATAGTCGACAATAGGGGGCGGCGAGGTGTCACCTTGTAGCCGCGACATGGAACGAGTCACTGGTGGCATAGCGTCAAGCGAGAGCCCGTTTAGTTTTGCAGTAGGAGAATACATTGAAAAAGTTCACGACGCTCAAGGAGCAGGCACAGAGACTTTTCAAATGGCAGAAGCCTTATACAAGTTGGTCAACACCAGAGTATGTCGTCAACGAATGCATGCTGGGCTCTCCAAGGTCGCAACTATGGCCTATCCACGCTCTGTGCGCACTGCTGGGCAGATTGGCAAGGCTCGCGTTCTCCCACCACTGCTCAGCGATTCCTATTGTAGATGCCATGGATCCTAGCTTCTGGCAGTGTATAAACAAGCAGTTAGCCCAACCCGTACGCAGACTACAATGTGGAGGCTTCAGGGCAGCCTGCAAATAGGCCGCATGGCCTAAAAGGCGAGCAAGGCTCAAAGCTCTTCACCGACCCAGGTTGTCATTCAATTTCCGGAAAGCTGGATATTTCGACCAGGAAGTGATGTCCGGCGCTTATATGGAAGATGGTTGGCTGTCGACGCTTCTAAGCGCACGTTGAGCCACATGGCGATGCTGGCCTGCTCTTGTGGCCGGACTAGGCATACTTTTGGCCTTGGACCAACAATATCAAGACTAGGAAAAAGGGATGGGTCATTATTGAAGTCACCTCAGTATCACGACTCTGGCGGGACTGCGGGAGGATCGCGTGTCCCTCTTGAATGTGTAACCCGCAATCGAGCACGCTGATTACACGAATTTCATCGTCTCCGTGGAAACCTCAGAATCTTTCTGCTTCCATGTCTTCATCTGCACTTATCCCCAGAGTCGAGCCTATCAGGCCTTTTAGCAACTCGTGCCATTCGCTACCGAGGGCATACATGCACAGCTGGTCTCGATGAAGATGAGCACCGTGGTATCATGATAAGGAGTTGCATTTGCAGATCGAAACGACTTCCAAAAAAAGAGGCTCGCGGCGAGAAGGCATTGTGAGGCCGCGCCTTTGGCCAACTAAGTGGTAAGAAGACATGATAGATAGAAAAACATTCCGAGTGACTTTGACGTTACTTCACTTGACGGAATCGCACTCCCGCATTCCCGTATCCTCCATAATAATCTGCCCTGACCCAAGCAAAAGATAATGCAAAGAGATGTTGCAAAGTGCCAGGGCCATTTACTCCTACAGAACCAGTCTCATCTCCACCCTCCCTTTTGAATGCCCGCGTCGATTCGTGGCTGCCCGATGGATGGGCGACGCGGTAGTTGTTCATGCAACGGCTTGCATTGGAGGGCGCATGGCGGACTCAGCGAAGCGAACGGCTCGCGCGCGGTGGTGCGTCGGAGATGTCTCGGTTGGTTGCCTGTCTTTGCGCAGGATCGTCTTAGGATCCGGCGACTTGGACTTGCGTGAAGTCGGAGACCGGCCTGCAGACGAGGAAGTGGACAAGGTCCTCTTCTCTTGCAGGCTGTCCGTAGGCCGGTCGGATTGTCAATCGATGCCATGCTGCACCTTCAGGCGAGCTAAAGATTCGCGACGGGCTTCAATGTCCTCTCTTGACTTGATCATCTTGTCTGGCTGGTGGTAAAGCACTAGTGAAGGTTAGTGACTGCCGCTCAGACACCGCGCACGTGTATAGAGCACGTGTGAGATCCACGTACCAACGAGATAACGGCTCTGAAAGTTAAACCCGTTCAGTTTGTCGCAGGCGGATTTGGCATCTAGTACATCCTCGTAGACGACAAATGCGGTGCCCTTGGTGTTGTTTGCGATCCCCTGTCGGACTTGGCTGCGGCTTGGTTAGCGATGCGAATTGACGTAGCCGAGTTGGCAATAAACGTCGTGAATGCGTACCGAATGGGGCCAAATTTGCCGAACAGGTCGAATAGGTCCTCTGGCGTGACGTTGTAGCTACAGAGCGAATTAGTTTCGGGCGTATCGGTGATCGTCTATGGGCTTCCTAAGTGTACCTCAAGTTCTTGACGAACAGAGCTCTGCGACGGTCAGTTAGCGACAGAACCTTCAAGACATTGAACGTGGACCATGGTTTAGCAACGACGGAATCGAGGCCACGGAAGACAGGAGGGAACAGGATGATTGGTGTTGGCTTCACAGTGACACGCGACCGATGATCTTGACCGAAATCGAGATCCCCGACGTCGTGTCAATTGAATTCGTGGTCGAAACAGCACGAGCGCAGGCGGACGCACCGATTGACTTCTGGGGCTAATTTACCACCGCGACTACTCATATCTTGGATGATTCTGATGGCGCTTCGTGATCGAAAATCGGTCGGGAAAGGCTGCGATGCGCGGGGGGCCTCGCTGGTCGTGTATTAGAGGGTATGGCGGTGTTTGAGATAGGCTGAGAGCGTTCGTGGAAAGGCGTTGGAAGGAGGAGACGGCCGGGTCAAAGTGACTGCGGCAGACTGACGCTCAGCCTGGGACCCTCGAACTGGGGGGGCGGCCTATGGGAGGAGACGCACGTGACTCTTCCCCACCCTTTTTGATCCAACTGATCCTTTTCCGGTGTGCGCGTGACGTACCCACGTTAAAGCCGAGCTCGCCGTGGCCGCATGAGGTGCTCGGGGATATACTAAACTCTTGAATCTTTACCAGAAGCGCTTGAATAGAGCGATTCCGGAAGCCAATGGCTGGTTCAATGATGTCGTTGGGCGCTCGAGTGATCGAGGGCGTACAAGTATTGGCCGTGAAGCATTCAGACACCTGTCACTACGCTGTACAGCAGTGGATTCCTCACTTATGCAGGCAGCACTGCATGCCTCGTCCACTTGGAGGTTTGTCATTGGTGAACGATGGGTTGATCACAGGGGTGCGTGCTCTCTGGAGCCGTGACACTGGAGATGTTGGCAAATGGCAACCATTATCAAATTGATGTAACCGTTGCCTGAGTGCACCACGTAAGGTATGTAGCGTCGTCCAGGTGAGCATGGCTGGCTTCAATTTCTGAAGTTTTTTTGAATGATGCTGATAAGTACTTCTGAAGGGAATATCACTGATATCACACCGTATGCCAAGGAAGATAGCCTGAGGTGACCGATGTGGGTACACTTGATGTTGCGTCCCGTCCCTTGGCCATCTCAGCTCATCATCAGCAACCCGATCAGCTTCTTTACTCGTAATTAATTACAACGCCCTTGACTTTTTATTTGTAGGCAACGCTCATCGATTCGGCCAAGGATATTGCGATACTTCCTCTCTCTTCTAGGGTTATTGCCACCCCACCGCCGATTCCAACGTGGCCAAGCGGTGCAAGGACTCATCGCCCAACGATCATCACGCTTGCATACGTCCATCGTCCTTCAGATCCTCAACACGCAGATACTCGGCGCATCCTTCTTCGCCGGTCGCGTACTCACGCATGACAACCCTGCCCCGACTCATTGGGCAAGCGAGTTCAGCGCACTCAACCCCATGGTTGAGTGCACTGGCGAGTGCGATCAAGGGGCTGATCTCAAGTGCTCGCCGATTCCAGCAGCGCAACAGAGTTCGTGCAGCAAGACCCGAATACCCTCTTAGATCACAATGTTTCCAAGAGATCCTGGCCCTGAGCGATCTGTAAATTATACGATCGATGTCTGGCTCTGGCATGGCTGCACACGAGTGCACCAAGGAGAACTTGAAGCAGAGGCGCCAGGCGACACATGACAACACAATTCTTGCGCCCTTCGATATTCGAGACGATGTCACAGAAGAATTTATCTTGGATTTGATCAACCGTGATCTCGTGCCGGCAGAGGAGCTGGAACTGCTTCGCAGTTCTGCTCTGACCGCCAGCATCGACAATGCTGAAGCTCTGATAGAATGCGCCAAGTCCATGCATCGGGGTCAGGTACCTCAGCCCGGCCCTGGACTCAGTGTAGGCATACTGGATGATGTTGGGCGACTCCTCAGCTGTGTTCCAGATGCGGAAGGAGTCAACGTTACCGTATCGTGGTATCAGACTGACCAGGTGATTGCTCTTGCGCGCCAGCAGCAAGACAATGTTCGGATTACACAATCGGCAGCTTCTACAACTCCTACCAAGCCTTCGTGTGAGACCAAAAAGCGCAAGGTAAAGCCTTCTCCCAAAACTACGTCTCATTATTGGGTCATGCAAGATAGCAATGACGCTCTCCCGGCGCAGGACACGTGTGATCCCGGGCGCGTTGGGGAAGATGCAGCCATGCAGTATATTCCTGCTGCGTCACCTCCGAATATTCAAACTCCTCAGAGTTGTCAGCCAGACAGAAGCCTGTCTGATCTTGCTCGTGAAGTAGGGGGCTGGTACAGCGATCCGGAGCTCTCCCGTACCATCGAGCGGTGCATTGTCGACCCTCTGGAGGTCGCCAGCCGGTTTGATTACAAGCCAGTCGCCGCAGGGCCTGGATCCAGCTCGCCATACTTTATTGACGCGAACGCGAAAGCAACGACAACCCGTCCACCACCGGGCACGATATCTTGCGTCCCATTCCCTCCACTCGACAGCCCCGCCTTCGGTCTCGTCCAGGAGAAGGTGGCTCATGAGCCTTTCTGGCTTCTAGTCGCCATCACATTTCTAATCCGTACCAAAGGCTCCGCAGCTATTCCCGTCTTCTGGGCTCTAAAGGAACGGTTCCCTTTGCCTAGCTTGATTGCCGACCCTGCCAATGAGACTGAGATCATTGGCATGATTCGTCACCTGGGCCTGGCCATGAATCGACTGAGGTACTTTCAAAAATATGCACGACTTTTCATGGACAACCCACCGCGAGCTGGCCAAGTGTACCGGGTCCGAAAGTACGATCGAAGAGACATTGACGCCGGCCAGCTGGAGACAGGCCTTTATGAGCGACCAAGAACCACAGCCGGCATGCTCACGCCGCGCGCTGACCCTGCAGACGATGCTGAAGCTTGGGAAATTGGACACATGACACAGGGTAAATATGCCCTTGACAGCTGGCGCATTTTCTGCCGCGATGTCCTGCTTGGTCGCGCACAGGGCTGGAATGGCGAGGGCGCGGCACCTGAATTCCAACCAGAGTGGATGCGCGTCAGGCCCGACGACAAGGAGCTGCGTGCTTGTTTGCGATGGATGTGGATGCGTGAGGGCTTCGAGTGGGATCCTGTCACGGGCGACCGAACTGTACTCCGTGGTGAGTTGCTACGAGCCGTGAACGAGCGACGGGTCGAGTACGACGACTCGGGCGGGTTGCGGATCGTCCATGAGCCACGACAGGACGGGGATGGCCTCGACGCGGCGGCATGAACTGGGACTCGACGGCTATCTACGATTAGGACCCGTCAAGATATCGACATTGCTCCATTAGAGCACAAGTGTCCAGTCTATAAGGCTGCAGCTCACGCTGCTGTGTCAATCCGGAGCCATCTTCGCCGTAGCAGTCATATCCCCCTAAAGTATCGAGCATGCTCTTGCTTAACGAAACCCACACGGAATACCTGGTAGACTTGAGACTTGTTGAGAGAGCCTCCGTCGTCGAGGCGCTTGTGATGCAGGCTGGTGGAGGTTGACGTAGCTTGAATGTTAGTGCAAGGCGATTGAAGACCTTTGGCTGTGGTGCGCGTTCCCACGATTCAGTGGTAGCCTCGGCATCGCACTAACAGCTTCGAGACAGCTACTCTGTGCCTGCCAAACAAGGATGAGGTCCAGGTCAGAAAAGCGGGTCTCTTGGCCCTGCATCGAGAATCACGGGATTCGATGGACAAAGGACACAGTAACACAGATCGCAGGCTCGCAGCAAGGTAAAGACACTGTATTCACAGCTTCAATAGCCTTTGATCTTGTCTACTAACGTACCTAACGTACTTTACTGCCCTCCAGCTTCAGTGTTTATTGGTGCTCAACCGGTGCTGCGTCCCAACAACCGAAGTTCGAGCAACCTTTGCGGCGGTGCCAATTCCCGAGCTAACGCGGCACACTCCCGTCCATCCACTGGCTGGGCTGCTGAGCTGCTCTCCGTCCGTCGACAGGCCAGATCCTCCCTCGTCATCAAGCCTCGAATCGCGAGTTACCAACCCCCACCATCAACTTTCCTTTGCCTTCGCATACCACCGGTGCTCATAGGGCAGGCCTGAGCGAACCAAACACCACAACCTCGATCACCTTTCCAACGAACCAGCATTGGCATCTTTCGGCTGCTGCACCTTCTCCCCCAGCGCGCACACACACACATACGCCCAGCATGTCGCATCGCGGACCATCGTCGGGCTACGGCATTGGAGGACAACCTGGCCCCTATGGAGCTGGCCCTTCAGCACCCGGACAAGAGAATGGCGGCTTCGTCGAGCAGATCCGCCCGTACACAGACAAGGTCGAGGACTTCCTGGATACAGTCAGTGACCCAATCAAGCCGTAAGTTGCCCCGCCGCCGCCCCAAGTTGTGTTCGAGGGAGAGAGGACAGCAATGACTGACAGTGGACGCCAAACAGGTATCTCCCAGCCATTGGGCGCTTCTTGATCGTTGTCACATTTCTCGAGGACACACTGCGCATCATGACCCAGTGGAGCGACCAGCTGATCTACCTGCACGATTACCGCAAGAGTAAGCCTCCCAGCAGCTCCCCGGTGGCTTTGATCATCAGTCCAAGACTAATCGGCCAATTCTCACAGTCCCCTCGGGTATCACCCACCTGTTCCTGCTCTCCAACATGGCTGCGATGGCCGGCTGCTCGACCTTGGTCATCATCCGGAAATACTCTGACTACGCTGTCGCTGGTCTCATGGGCGTCGTCGTCACCCAGGCTCTAGGCTACGGTCTCATCTTCGACCTCAACTTCTTCCTCCGCAATCTCTCGGTCATTGGCGGTCTGCTCATGGTCCTGTCCGACTCGTGGGTGCGCAAGACCAAGGCGTTTGCTGGCCTGCCCCAGATCGACGAGAAGGACCGCAAGATGTACTTTCAGCTCGCCGGTCGCGTGCTCCTCATCTTCCTCTTTGTCGGCTTCGTCTTCAGCGGGCAGTGGTCGATCTGGCGCGTTGCTGTCTCGATCCTGGGTGCCGGCGCCTGCGTCATGGTCGTCGTCGGGTTCAAGGCCAAGTTCAGCGCCACCCTGCTCGTCGTCATCCTCAGCGTGTTCAACCTGATTGTCAACAACTTCTGGACGCTGCACGAGCACCACCCCCACAAGGACTTTGCCAAGTACGACTTCTTCCAGATCCTGTCCATCGTGGGCGGTCTGTTGCTTCTCGTGAACAGCGGCCCCGGTCAGTTCTCCATCGACGAGAAGAAGAAGGTCTACTAGATGTCGCCGCAACCGCCAACAACAGCGATGGCCTCGGATGTTTCTTGAGGGCTGCTCTATGACGACATGTATATGATACCAACGACATGTGGAAGGCGAATGGAGCACAATGGTGCGCCTTTGATACGCCGCTCGGGGCGATTGGTGATTATTGTGAAGGGAAAAAAGACAGGGCTAGTAGGTTGGGAGAAGGCCGGAATGGCAGAGATCATGTTTGAAGCCACGTAGCGGAGGCACGAAATCAAAAACGCAGTGTTGGATCTTTCACGCGACTTCAGATCAGGAGTGGTTGCGCTAGCTGGACCAAGCTCAGCCCTAATCTATTGTGACTATGCCACCCCTGGTGCATGTCAACAATAGAGCTCCCTCTCAGCTCCAACAAGTCCTTCTGGGCCCCCTATGTACTGGATATTGTCGACACGCAGTGAGAACATGATCCATTCGAGATCGATATGGGGAGGGAGTGAACAGCTTACTGCTGCACGATGACATCACGTGAGCTGTGATCACAGAGTCAGGGTAATCCCTCCATGCATATCGCCCATTTGCACATGTTGCGGAAGCATCCTTGGCAGAAATACGCGAGGCTGCTAGGGCTACTGGAAAGCTTTCGGAAGTGAAGATGCTTTGATACTTTTTGGCCAAAAAAAGGGGGTAGAGCCAACATACCTCACCTTTCGTGCGCTAAACCCCTCAACGCAGCATTGAAGGTGGTGAACAGTGCCACTTTTGTACTGCTTTACACAGCGAATGAGACTTTCCCCAGTCTGTGCTCTGTTGTTGGTCCAAGGACGCTTGAGGCGAACGCGCAATGGCTGAGGTCGTGGGCACAGCTATTGGTGTTGTGGGCCTGCTCGCCCAGCTCTTTGACGGGTGCGTCAAAGCCTATGGGTACTTCACCACGGCTCAGCAACTCGACGCAGACTCGCAGAGACTCCTATGCAAGGTACGGATAGAGGAGATGAGGCTCGTGGTGTGGGGTAGGGAATGGGGCGTTGCCGAGGGAAAGCTGGAACGACATCTCCTGGGGTCGCATGGCGGCGCCACCATGAGCACGACCAACGGCCACGACCGTGGGCCCACGAGGAGCTTTGGTGAGGGAAATCCGCAGCTCAGGGCCTTGGCTATGCAGATTCTCGAGCAGCTGCACACCACCGTGACGGACGTTGGGAAGTTGAAGGAGGTCTACGGGCTGAGTGACCCGACGGAGACAAAGGGGAAGACGACTTCTACCAAGAACGGCACCAATAGCAGGAGTTGGAAGAAGGACTTTACTCTGAAAAGCAGGTGGGTGATTGCAGGTAAGTGAGTGTGGTGCTCCGTTCAGATGGGTGGAGTGACTCGGTTCCAAGGTTATAGAGCAAGCGGATAGGGAGGGAGCTTGACGTGCTGACGAGGCCAGACAAGGACAAATTCACCACCTTGCTCAGGGATCTCAAGGACTTTAACGACGGACTGGAACGCCTCTTTCCACCATCACAGCTGCCATCCTTCCAGCGCGCCTGGACGCATCAGCTCCTCGAGTCTGCCCAAAGAGACGTCAAGCAACTGTCCCTGCTCGAGACGGCGTCGTCAGAGACCTATCCCCATCTCACCAACACGGCCAACCTCAAGAAGCTGCGCATCAACCTGGACGCAGCGCCGCAGTCGACCTTTAAGCCCACACATGCTCTCAAAGTGCCCCGAGAGATTCTGTCCATCCCCGACATTGTCTCCCCCAGGAATCTCGAAGGCAATCGCTGTCACGCCCATCACGACACCACCGGTGACGTTCTGATAGAATGGGTGCTCTACGATCCGCACGCCCTAGACGAGCGCCTCGCCCATCTACGTCGAATGGACGATCTCGCGCGCATGATGCACTCAGCGTCCACCCGGCACCCTGACCTGCACTCCATCGACTGCATCGGTTACACGGACGACGCACTCAACTCCCGCTACGGCCTCGTCTACCGCGCTCCCTCGGCCTCCTCGTCGTCACTCCATGCCCTCATCTCGTCTTCGGATCTCAAGACGCCAGACCTGGACGCCAGGGTCAGGCTGGCGACCACCCTGGCGGTGGCCACGTGGAGTCTGCACTCCCTGGACTGGCTGCACAAGTCCCTCTGCTCGAGCAACGTCCTCTTCTTCCCGTCCATCTTCTCGACCGCGGCGCACGGCGCAACTGTCGCGTCCGCTCTCGCGCCTGACATCTCCAACCCCTATCTCACCGGCTTCGACGCGTCTCGCCCGGAGATTGAGACTGCTCTGTCGGTGGCGCCGAGAAACCCCAGCATCACCAATCTGCATCGTCACCCTTGTTCCCTGCGCGGCCTGCCTGCGACAAAGGCGTATGACGTTTATAGTCTAGGCCTTGTGCTGTTGGAGATTGGCTTGTGGAAGATACTGCAAAACTACCACAAGACGCACTACTCAGCGGAGCGTTGGCGGGACAAGATTGTGCTGCCCGTCCTGGTACCAAATTTAGGGGCAAAGATGGGCCCGCGGTACAGAGACGTTGTCGAGATGTGCTTGAGTGTCGAGGAGGGCACCAACAGCAAGGAAGCGGGCGAGCTGATGGAAGTCGTGGTGAGTCGGTTGGAAAGCATACGAGTGTGAATAGCCACCCGTTCTACAGATGATGTTCACAAAAGTACTCAAAATTCCATATTGGCTGGCGTATGTATATATCCCAGCTCACGAACAGCACACACAGCAAGCGATGGCAATCAAGAATAACCAAAAGTCTTTCAATAACAACAGATGCAGAAGCTAGACAGTACACTGCAAAGTCGCGCCTCTTCTCTCAAACTCGTTGCAGGCAGTACGCAAACGCCAATTCTTATTTCTTGTCCCTGAATCAAATGTGAAATGCTGCCCTTCCCAAAAACGCCGCCCGATGCATTGGATGTCATTATCGTTACCGCAGAACCCATGATGATCGGTCAAGATACCACAATTCCTGTCGCGTATGAATCACATACGACGCAGCTCCCCGTGGTCCTACGACGAAGAGACCTTGCGCGCAGTAGAAGAGGCAGTGGCCGACATGCAGGTGCTGTTGCTGCCCACGCGACCGCTCGTCTTGCGAACACCAGAATCCTTCGTCCGGAGCGGCGATTCAGCCTGTCGTTTGCTGCCTCTGACCTTGGTCATGACGCTGGGCGTGCTGGCAACGCGATCCGCAACCTTCGGTCGCCCTGTCCCAATGTTCTCGGCATCCTGCGATGCATCGTTGTCGACCAAGTACACTGATGCGGTCTGGCTAACGGATCGGATCTTGTCACTGCGCGCAGGGGATCGCGACTCCTTGCGCCTCATGCGGAGGTGCCACTCCTCATCCTTCTCGCCATCTTGCGACTGGCGCTTCATAGACACAATCTCAGTCTCCACAGTGGTCTCCTCGGCCGTAGCGTGAGCAGCGTCAGACCGCTGGTAAGGGTGGTGACGTTCGCCACGAGACGTCTTCCGGGGTTGTCCAGGTGTAGGAGCAGGTAGATAGTCTTCCTGGGGGGCACCAACGTTGGCGCGATCGTGGTCTACCTCGCTGAGGGGAGTACGGCTGGACGGGCTTCGGTTCGGCGGGGTGGAGGCGTGGTTGTGGCGCGACGACCTTTGCATGACGCGAACAGGCGTGCTGGGGACATTGGCAGAAGCCATCTCCTTTCTGAGCCTCCGCTCAACCCTCTCCTCAACCCACCATTCACGGAAAGTGCCTTGGTTGAGGTGCAGCCAATGCTGCTGAGGACCAACTACCATGCCCGGCCTCATGAAGCGCATAAACGAGATGATCTCGTCGGCGGTGAATCCATGACGGTATATCAGGTAGGCGCCAATGAGGCACCCAGTGCGTCCAAGACCAGCCTTGCAGTGCACGGCAATGCCCTTCTTCTTGACGGTGATCATCTCGTGAGCCATGCGGATGAACTTGCGCACAGAGGGGAGAGTAGGGCAGGTGCCATCATCGAAGATCATGTCGATGTGCTGGATACCGAGGGCCTCAAAGTAGGAAGGAGAGTAGAGATGCGAGTTGAGGCGAACAACGAGACCAATATTCTTCTCGGAGAAGTGCTCCAGCACATTCTTGAAGGGTTGAGGCAGAGTGGGGTGAGCGCGCACAGCGTCTAGTGTTTTCGGGAGCGAGTCGTAGAGCTCGGAGCCCTCTGTGATCTTGGCGACAGGTGTGTGCTGAGGCGAGGCAAAGGCGAGGAAGTGTGGTGTGATCCAGTTGAAGTCGCCGTGTTCCACGCGTTCAAACTTTTCATACATGTCGAGATCAAAGTTGTCCAGGTCGCAGCACTTCTCCTCCTTAGCCTTCCACACGCCATAGACCACGTCTTGCACGGTGATACCATAGTCAGCCTGGCTATAGCCAGCGTCTCGGAAGGGCATCAGCGGAGGGTCGACTTGGGCGATGGGGGCGAGGGCCAGGTGAGGTGGCCAGTTCTGGATGAGGACCATGTAGCAAGCGAGCATACAGGCAGCATTGGCACGGCCTACTCAGGTTAGTTCTGCGGTTCATTGCCAGAGTCAGAGAGTGCATGACGTACTCCTTGGGTCTGCGTGACTCCAAAAGACGATGGGTCGTTCCTTATTCTCCTTGGCTGCTAGGATGTCATGAAACTGAATGGCAAAACGGTACAGGTGACCAATGTGTAGCGGCCCAAAGTCATGGTGGAACGCGTTGTACAGAAGGATGTCATCGACTGAGAAGTAGCACGGCTGCTTTCGCGAGTGCGAGGCCTGTTGAGCTGCCGCAGCAGCAGCCGCGGCGGCTGCACGCTTTCGCGGCGATACTGCAGGTGCCTCAGGATACGGGAATGGTGTGTCGGCCGTGGGCGCGTGGACATAGGCGGCGAGATAGAGGCGGTCTGCGACGTACAATGTCAGCGGTTTGCATCGCGGTTTGAGGGAAATGCGTTGTTGTTGCTGTCGCTGGTCGGAACAGAGCGTGGCATAAGAATGCGATGCCATGGCGGCAATATCCTCGTACTTGTCGAGGCGACTCCGGCTCCCAAATGATATTGTGCGCGGAACAGACTGGGCGACTGGAGGCTCTGGTGCTTACCTGGTATGTACTCGATGATTTGGCCCACGTTCTGGGGTTGTCTGGAAGAAGAAGGCGCCATTGTTCCCTACGTCCTTTGCGCACGTGTCGCTTGATGGTTGGCAGCGCTCGGATCGTCGAGGTCGGGACGGGAGGCGGCAGGTGCGAGGCGGGGGTCGACGAGGTCGAAAGTAACGCTCATGAACGTTTGGGTTTATACTATATGCACGCTAAGCAATGCGGGTCAAAGTAAGTAAGTCGAGTGCGACTGCGAAGGAGAATGAAGGTGTTGTTGGCAAAAGGACTATGATGGTGCAATCAGGGTAAGGACGTTGTTTTGTATTGCTGAGATGTCACTAGTTGTTGTTGTGGTGTCAAGGTCAGTCTCCACCCAAAACCATGGAGACGGAGCCAGCTCCCAGACCCCAGTCGTAACAAACACCAGCGGTCCCTGGCAGGGGTCCGTCGCCATAGCAACAGGGCCCCTCGACACGCAAGCCACAGGGTCGTTTGCTCATGTGGCGCATGCGCTCACCAGCCACAGCCATGATATCGACTCTCCCCCACCAGTCATTATCCGTCTGTCGCATTCCAATGCTCCCTTTGCTCCCTCGCATAATATTTTGACTCTAATCAAGTACGCGTGCCTACGTGCGACAAGCCAGAAGAGGTTCACCTAGCATCGCACATGTCGCATGACACCATGGCAACCGCCACAGACCCCGACTTTCCCTGCTCCCTGTGCGTCATGCCCAAGCCCTGCTGGCCTGCCTGCCCGCCCTGTGCATGAAATTGACCAAGATCCCTAGATCCATCGACGTGCCCCTCCCAACTCAGCGCCTCGCAAAGACCGCGCTACAGGCTTTGCAGGTCGACAAGGAACTCTCAGCGCTCGTCCGACGAGACTTGTCTATTGCCGAAGGCGACGCACAAAGTCCTGCCCTGCTGCACGTAGAGTACAGTGCCACGACAAACCGCATGCTGCGAGTGGCCGTGAACGGGTTCATGGAAAGTTTGAAACTTGTCGTCGAGGTCATGGAGACGCTTGATGTCGATGTTCTAGAGCCGGGGAGTAATACAAATGCAACAAGTTGAAATCACGTGCCCTATATATCACTCTCATGATATCTTGAAGTCTTTTGATTCCTGTTTGGCGAACTTACCTGCAGTATATATACACTTCCATTGATCCATGACGCCAAGTGTTCATGATGCTATCACTATGACAGCTCAAAGCCAGCGTCGAACGACCAGCCACTGTTTGAAAGTACAACATCCAGTCCACATAAAGTCTGCTCACATATACCCAGTAGCGAGTCCTGCAAGTCCTCGTGCTTCCCTTTCCCAAATGTGATGCATTAATACTCCTGATTAACCACTCATTCCCGTGCCTAAAGAATTATCGCATCGCACTGAACATGGACTCATCAAGCCTGAAACCCCGAGGTCATGTTGGACTCTTGAGTTTTTCCAATTGACTTCTCAAGTCTTGCACTTCCTTCTTGAGATCTCCGTTCTCCGTTTCCAGCTGGCGCAAATGCACGATAGCTTGCTCGACCACGCTGGCCTTGCTATTCGAATTGTTCTGCTGCTTGCTGTCCTTCTTGTCGCTGTCCTCGCCGGACGGTGATTTCCCGTTATCGGGTAACAGACCAGCCATGATCTGAAGAGCGGAATTTATCCGATTGCGTCTTCCTTGTTCGGCGATCTTGTGCGAGGTGCGCTTCGATGTGAGATTGTTCGATAGCTCTGAGGGATACGTAACGCCAGGAACCATGTTGCCTTCGAGAATGTTCTGATAATTCGATTTGGACATGAGCAATCTCGACGCATCTGACTCGCCCAAATCGCCTCCGGGGAGTAGAGGCTTTATGCTCGGCGATATCCTCGGCAACAGAGCAGGTGAGACTTGAACCGAACCGGTCGAGTGTTTCCTACCCGTGCGAGGCGCGAGCTGGGGCGTCTTGCGAGCGGCGGACCCTCCGGGCAGTATCCGCGGGCTCTGCGAGGCGGATGACGTCCCAGGCCGTCTTAGCGACGGTGAGGGCTGGGGCTTTGAGGTAGTAGATTGGGCAGACCCGGGCTCTTGTTCTATCCTGGGCGATGCTCGTGCGGCATGTGTGTCAATCGGGGCGAACTTTTTGCGCGAGACCGACTCTGGCAATTCGAGGGATTCGATATTGTCGGTAGCCATCTGGTCTGGTTGATTCGGAGCCGCCTTTTGTTTTTGTGAGGCAGGGAGCCTCATCAGCGAGGCTGGTGTTGCCGGATGTGTGTGTAGATCGCCAAGGGCCGCCGCAATTGGCGTATTTTGGGATGTAGGAGAGGTGGTTGTTGACGGCGCTGAAGTTGGCGGCGCCGAAGTAGGAGGTACTGCGGCTTGAGGCGCTATGTATGGTGATTTGTTCGCTTTCCATGCTGGCAAGGGTGGGGGAGGCATATCAGTCAGGTTCTCGGGGGACACTGATGCATTCTCCTCTGAACCGTCGGTCGAAGCAGCCGGTAGCAGACTCATGTTGAGGTCCGCGCTAGCGTCTCTCTCCTCAACCTCACTGAGAACATGTGACACTATCGCCGGGCTGGGGCCAGCCTTCTTCCTTTGGGGCTTCGAGATGGGTGAGCTTTTGATCGCGGCCTTGCTCCTTGTCTTGGCGGCATTGTTCTTCCTAGCCTTCTTTGACAATTCCAACGTGGATGCAACCGGGGGCTGGGCTGTCTCAAGGTCCATCTCTATGGGCGAGTTATTCGAGTGTGTGCTGTGGTCATACCCGGAGCCGGAATCGTTCTGGGCGTGTAGAGCTGGCGAGGTCAGGGGGCTAAAGTAGGCGCCAGGCACAGTGAAGGCAGTATCGATGTTGAAGTGAGGATCCAGTGGGGTAACGGCTGGAGAGACGAGAGGTGTAAAGGCCATCTACGCGCATCAGGTCAGTGTTGAACGTATTTCCGGTCCACAGGTAGAGCACTCACATCCTGTTCCTTGAGGCGCTGCTGCTGCTGGTGATGATAGCGTCTATCATACGACACTTGGTCCTGCTGTTGCTGGCTGTAGAAGTGACCGCTGTTTGGGGGCATTTCGAGGCTTTGAGGTGTCGGCGGAACTGAGTGGCTGTGGGCAGTGTAGTATGCGTTTCTCTGCTCCTGAATTTGGCGCTGCTGTTGTTGAAACTTTTGCTGCTGGAGGTACTGAATCTGAGCGTCGAGCGTGGATATCGAGTCCGAGGGCGGCGCAGAGGTGGCCAGCATTTGCGCTCCATGTGACGGCCCCGCCTGGGACATGGGTGTGTGGTTGTGCATCATATCGCCTGGCTGAGGCATCATGGAGGGGGTGCCAGAGTCGCCCATGATAGCATCGTGCTGCTCACGCGGGCGACTCATCATGGTTTGCGCCGAGGCATCCTGAAAGCCGTTGAAGTCGAACGGCATACCCTCGCCCATGGTAGACATGTCGAGAAACTGACCAAAGTCGTCCTCTGGTGCAGTAGCCATATGATGGTCCTGCCCGTCCCAGCCATTGGAAGTCATCATGGCGCAGGTGGAAGATGCCAAGGAAATCGCTCCTCTCACGACCCAGCTTTCAGTCTGTCTCGTCCCAGCCGATGGGAAAAGCCCAATTGGCAATAGTCGCGTGGTTCCCCCGCGGTAGGTGCTTCGGCGTGGAGGGGTCGAGGTCGCAACGTTCGGCCAGCGTCAATCTTCGTTGTGCGTACTTTGTGTTCAATCCGTTGCGTCGCCTTGGTCGTCTTCCACAGCTGTGACCGGGAAGCGAAATTTGGGAGTCGTGTGTGAGGTGATTTCTGGTTGCACTCTTTTCGTCGGGAATGGGTCCGACACTAGCTTAGCGGGATACTTCGGTCGATTGTCGTGCTAATGAATTGATGGAGACGCGAAGGAGTCGCTGAACCTGCGGCTGCGAGTCTCTCGCCGAGCGCTCGCGGGGCTTTGCTTGTGGGCGCCGATGTAATCGTCGTGGTCACCGTCGCCTGGTACCAATGGCTCGACGAGGGCATGCAGAGGATGCGCCGTGGGCCTTGCGTGGTTGATTACTATCATGGGAGAGGGAAAAAAGGACGGGTGCGCCAAAATCCAGTCGTCCATGGTGAACAGAACTGGACCCAGACCGGAAGTGGAAGAGTGAGGAAGAAGTGGATTGAGACGGCGCAAGAGGCAGTGGGACCGACTGGACCGGACGCAATGGTGGTGGACCGCCGTCCTTCCAACAAATCCACTGTCCACGAGCCGCGGCGAGTGACCCAGAGTCGGGCGCCAGAGGGTGGGGGTACCACCTGCCTGCTGTGCCTCCAGACTCCAGCCAGTTGCCTCCAGTCTAAAAGTTATTAGTCGACCAACAGCCATCCCACCCACTGGAGTCCTCAGGCAGGCAGGTACTATGTGCCTTAGATCGAGTACATGTATTCACGCGTACACTGGCCAGGTCTCTATGTAGTACGTAAGTACTTACACACAACACATATATTAACTGTCCACTACGTGCATCGATATTGATCTGGTGGGCACACAGCCGGTCAGCTTTCTCTCAACCCCCCGACGGACCCTTACGGACACGGTGAGCTTTGACTCTGTGAGATTCAGCAAAACCCCTGTCGTGCACTGACAGCCGCGTCGGAGAAACGACCCCCGCCCATGACTCTAAAGGCTGGAACCCCCACTGGCCAATTACGTGGTCGAAACGCTCCTGGTACTTAACCGAGCAACTCGGTCCCCGTTTCTTCAACAAGCGCTTTGCATTCATACCTGGTAAGCTTGACCTGGGAGAGAACAGAACGTCCCTGTGGACCAACAACTCCGCGAGTCCCAACTCCTCCAGTTCTCATCATTCTTTGGGTTTCCCTTCCTCACGGCTGGCCGACGATTCTACCTAATAGTACCTACTACTAGAAGTGAGGGGCAATGAACTAGCATCGCCTAGGTTCCTTAGCCCACTGCACCTGACAATTTCATGATGACAGACTGATTATTAGAACTTGTTTACTATGGTGGCATACGTACCGTAAGGTATAATACAGCCTGAAGTACGGAGGACGAGTTCAAAAGTTATGCGTTGCCAAGAAACTAGCCATAGTTGGCGTCTAGCCCGAAGTAGCCCCCCGGGAAGTTTATCACCAAAT